AGCCAGCAGTTAAGCCCTAGGTGGTGTTTTTACCGAGTTCAATCAGCTTCTGTCACAATGTTTATAAGAGAAACAGCTTGCAGGCATCAAACCTCGCCATGCTTTTTAACTTGATTTATATGGGAATGGACATCTTGTGATGGGATTAAGAACTGCTGACCAAATACAGTGCTCCCTGAAGGAGGATGGAGGAGCGTTTGGCTCTCTTGGCTGAGGGAGGCACTACATAAACAAGCAGACAAAACAGTTCAAGCGTTTTGTTTCTGTGCTATGGTGAGGCAGGACCTCTGAGAGGAGTTTGAACCAAGGCATCAGGGGGATAAGAAAGCTGCAGGACTGAGATTTGGGGCAGAAATGTGGTGTAACCTGTTAAGGAGGAGAACACAGAAAATTGCCAAAGACAGTTGTCAAGGGGAATGTGTGTTCCCCTTGATGGAAAGATGGCAAAATGATCAACTCATAGTGACACAAGTATGACAACAGCGGGTGACCCAGGCCCAACAACTACAAGTGGCAGAGTTGCTTGACAGTTCACCAGCAAGGGCCTGGGGCTGGTGGGGGCCTTGTAATGCAAGGGTGAGGAAGATGATGATGACTGTAACACATTGCTATCGTGGTTTAGGGCTGGGCTGGCCACTAAACCCTGGCCAGACGCTCTCTGTTAACCCCTCTACCCTCTCCAGAAGGGAAGAGGAAAGAGAAGGGAGAGAGACTTTACGGGTTGGAAAATAAAACTACCAGGTTTAATGAAACAATAATACTGATACTATAAGATAATAATGTAAATAGAAGAATAATGAAATATATACAGATATGTACAAATGTATCTACAAAACCAATATAAAATCCTCCCCCAATGACGATGACGGCCCCAGAGGCTCTGGGAGCACTGGAAAAGTCCCAGTGCGGACCCAGCAGCAGTGGGAGCTGATGCAGGAACACAGGGCTCAGGATCAGAGGCAGGCGAAGCAGCAGGGTCTGCTGGGCCTTGGGCCATTGCAGGGGTGGAGAGGGAAGGAAGGGTCCAAGCTGGAAGGGTGGAGACCCTGGTGATCCCTGGGCTTTGCACTGAGTGTGGCGTGTGTGGGATGCAATCCCTGGTTGGGCAGGTTTGGGTCTGCTCCTCCTGTAGGTGCAGACACAGCACCCATGGTGAGACAGTGGCCTTGAGATTATCACTGTAGCAGCACATACTGGAAAACCATGCTGCTGTTTTCAGCAATTTCAGGCATTTAGAAGAGACTGAGCTGAAAAGTAAAATCAGTAAATAGAAAATCAGTTCTGTTTAGTTCAAACCAGGACAATTGCTCAAGAGGAGATGGTGTGGTTGTCAGTGCAACTACAGGACAGAAACTTTGCAAGGGTTGCAGACAGCCTGTCTTCTGGAGGTCATATTTCAAAGGGTAGATGAAAACAGAGAAAATTTCCAGTTATGAGATCAATAGCAAAAGGGAGAAATAGGACAAAACCAACAATATTGCCCAAGTGAAACCAGCTGACTTTGTTCTGAATTTAAACATAGTTAAATGGTAAAAAAGAGAAATTTCATAAAATTGAAATACTGGCATAGAAATTACAAGATGCCCAGACCAGGCCTATTTAAGAAATTAATTGACATGTAAGGATAAAGACTTTGATACTGCTGGTGCAGACAGTAATTCCTCAGGCAGTGAGGGATGTTTGGCACTGCAACTATTACAAACATTTTATAGATAGCTTGTGATGTAGCTAGGAAGGCAAAAATTACACCAGAAAGGTTGTCACAGAAGGTGTCTGTGAAGTTGCTGTGAGCTATGGCCATTGTGCAGTTATTGGCAAAGATACAAAGGTCAAACCTGGCCTAATTGCAAGTCCTGTAACAGACAAACTTTTGAGATGGTGGCTGTGGAGATCTTTACATTGGCTCAGAAAAGTGCAGACGGCCACTATTTTATCTTGGTTCTCGAAGAGTCCTTCAAATTGAGATAGCAGGACTGAGGTCTAGCTGTACAAATAATAAAGTCAGAGCAATTGCTTCTTGGTGTGGAAAAAAAACAAGTAAGGACTCTAATCCTGTTCTGGCTGAAGCCACTGGCACATTTTCCATAGCATGCACTGGAATATGAGGTTATATTCATCACCATAGTGAGAAACGAGGAGTCAGTGCACCTCGGCTGGGTTACACAACACAAGGCCTTAGGGAGCCAAACCGGAGTAATGCTCTGGCACGTTATTTGTTGGACATTACCCACGCCAAAAGCCTTGTTTCTTACAGAGAAAAATCGTTTACTTTATCTCCTCAGCTGTTGTTGTTTAAAATAAGCTTTGACTCTTTAAAAATATATGGTGTTCTAGTATTTGTGCTTTCTGAGAAGTGACTTTCATATTCTGTAAATGACAACCCGGTCACTTTTGTCGTGACCTGTTCCTTCAGTTTGCAAATTTCCTCATAATTTTGTCTGCAAATTTAATATAAAAATCAAAACCAGATCAAGAGCTAAGAATTAGTCCAAGATTTTAACATCTAGGTTGTAGTTTTGAAACAAAAGTCCTACCAAAAACCCTACCTGACCTAATAAAGCCTGTGAGCTTTAGTAACTAGACATTATTATACAATTTGGAAATATTTTCCCCTGATATTTGAACACCATGGTGAGCCTGATTATTTCATTGAATCTGAAGGATGATAGTTCACATCTGCAGTACGAATCTTCACACTTACAAACAGAAAGAGCCTGCTAGAGGCTTTTGGGAAGTTCATAACCATGTGATAGCAAGGAGGGGCTGCAGTGTGAGCTGCCAGTTTTCACATCCATGAGTCAGGCCCATCAGAATGTTCCATTTCCTGACGCTAATTGAGTTCAGTTGTTCAGGCCCTTTTGATAGGTGCTTCTTTTAATGAAAAGAAAAAACTTGGGTAAATACTCATTTGACCAAGTTCATGTATACCCAGCGTAGGACCCTCTGAGAGTGCCTTTAATCCTGGTTTAAATGATAGCTAAATGCATTTTAATAGAAAATAATATATATATAATATAAA